TGTGATCATTGGCTCCGGAATCCAAAACCCAAGTAGGTTTTCCCGCTTTAACACAATAAGCAGAAGGAGTACTTGTAGCTATAGTAGTTGTGGGAGTAGAAGAGCCGGCCTTGGTAAATAAGGCTCTGAACTGCTCCTGAAGCTGACTAATCTGGGACTGTAACTGTTTGAAGTCCTAAAAAGAAGGTCTGGCAGGAGTTAAAGCAGGAGGGACAACAATCTGTGGAGTAGTATACCCACCAATGGTATCGGCTATTGTGGCAGTGCGGCCACGGCCCGAAGATAAAGTGTCATTTTGGCTACTAGAATCACTCATAGTACCAAACTAAGGCTGGTCCACACATCGAAGAGGGAGGAAAGAGAAAAACAAGGCCGGAAAAATCAACGCTTTCCTCCAAATATGTTGCCGAACAAACACCGACAGCCCACAAAGAAAAAAAACACCAAAAGGACCTTTAGATCATTAAAAAAACCTAAGGGAATTCTCCTTAAAAAATGAGTAAAAAACAGAGGGCTACCCGAGGGGTCCGGCGCAAAGGATGGGAGGAGATGGAGGTGCGCCGGAGGTGAGGGAAAATGGAGAGAGGGAGAGAGAAGGTGGCGGCGTTGGGGAGTAAGATGGGGAGGCGAAGGTTTTTGTTTTGCTCGGATACTAAAAAGAAGTTTTGGGTTTTGGCTTACTCAAACCGAGAGCCAAGATCTATATTTATATACAAGAATAGGGTACAAAGAAAGGAAACCAAATCAAAGAAAGACAGAAAATATGCCAAAATCTACGTGATCCCATAATTATGGGGATCTTATCTACGGGATCCCATAATTACAGGGATCTTATCTACGTGATTCCATGATTATAGGGATCTTACATAAAATACCTAATAAAAGGCTAAAAATAGCTAATAAAAATAAAAATAGAAATAATAAAGATATTTCAACAAGAACGATTGCTGAATATGCTGAAGAATTTTATCGGTTGTCATCCCGTAACAACCTGGTGGAACCCGAATTTAGCATGGTGGCCCATTTCAAAGGTGGGTTACGATGCAATATTGAAGAGAAAGTGGCACAGCAACCGCTATTCAAACTGTCTGAGATTGTCACGGCGGCAAAGAGACAAGGACTCAAGTCTATGGCCAAACATCACATGCTAGCGGATGTGGTCACCATCATAGGTACTCAAGATATTGCATCTAAAGAGGTGGATAGATAGGACTACGAGTTGCTAGATTAGGAACCTAGCTTTTTTTTATTGCGAGGTAGAATTCGAAGAATCGGTCTCATGGTTCATATAATACCCCACGTCCTACACATGACATGGGTAAACAGACCGTGGTAGCCCTTGTTCCAATGACATGGCAAGGCATTGGAGATGGTCCAACAAAGGCCAAACCCGCAACACCCATAGGCCCTGCTGGAAGGGGAGCCCCAGCTATGAGAGAAAATCCCTATGCACACCCAAGTATGGGCAAGTTTTTTCGTTGTGGAGAACCTGGCTATAAATCCAACAATTGCCCCAAGCAACCGACAGTAAATTTGGTCGAGCATGAGGAAGGCGAGGGTGAGGAAAGTAAGTTCCTTACCTTTTTACTTTTGAAGAAGAAGAGGTGATTGAACGAGACAGTGGCGAGTTGTTGTCCCACTCTTTAGTCGTGAGGAGGATGATGTTCACGCCAAAGAAGGAGGAGCACCCGCAGCGTCATAATGTGTTCCGTACACGTTGCACTGTCAACCATAAGGTATGTGACATTATTATTGATAGCGGCAAAAGTTAGAACATTGTTTCCTTAACAATGGTTCGAAAATTGGGGCTTAAAACAGAGAAACGTATCCATCCATACAAAATTGGATGGATTAAGAAAGGTTCAAAAACGCGAACACATACAATGGCCTTCTCTGATGCGGGATGTGTCCTAGCTGAGATATGTGAGCTGCGTTCTGGTTTGTTTTCAGGCAATCTCAAGTCTGAAAGTTAATGTGAGTAAGAGTGTGCTTGTCACTGTGGGGGAGGTTCAGGATGTTGCTTCTGTTGCTGCGGTTCTTGGGTGTGGGACGGGTTCCTTCCCCATTTATTATCTAGGTTTGCCTTTGGCGCTTCGTCGAGGAGGGTGGGAGTTTAGGATTTGGTGATTGAATGGTTTGAGAGAAGATTGGCGGGGTGGAAGAAGTAGAAGCTTTTGAAGGGCGGGAAGGTTACTCTCATAAAGAGTATGTTGTTGAGCCTTCCAACTCACTTTTTTTCTCTCTTCCAAATTCCCTCCTCGGTTGCTAGAAGGATTGAGACTCTTCAACGGAAATTCCTATGGGGTGGCCGGGGGGAGGAATTCAAGTATCATCTTATCCGTAGAGCAATTTGTAGGCCTCTTCAGTTGGGTGGTCTTGGCATTAGGAGGTTGGCCACTTTCGATAGGGCTCTCCTTAGGATGTGGTATGGAGATTTAGTAGCGAACATGGTCTTTGAAGGAGGGTGATCTCTTGCCGCTTTAGGGAGGAGACAGGAGGGTGGTCCTCTGCTCCGGCCAGACTCGTTGCTGGTGTTGGAGTGTGCAAGTCTATTCAGAAGGGCTGGGATGAGTTTTCTAAGCACATTAGACTCAGAGTTCGGGAGCACAGGGATGTCCGGTTCTGGGAGGATTTATTGTGCAAGGATCGCCTGTTGTCTTGTTTGTTTCCCAGACTCTTCAGAATTGCTATTGATAGACATGCCATGGTGGCCGATTGTTATCGGCTTGATAGCGTTGTCTTGTTTGTTTCCCAGACTCTTCACAATTGCTATTGATAGACATGCCATGGTGGCCGATTGTTATCGGCTTGATAGCGGTAGGTTTTCGTGGAACGTTCGTTTTCGGCGATCGTTTGAGAACTGGGAGTTAGACAATGTTTTTAGCCTGCTGGATCTTTTGTATAGTCAAAAGGTGGATGATAGAGGCTCTAATTCCTTATTTTGGGTGCCTTCTCCTCAGGGGAGGTTCGAGGTCCGTTCTTTGTTCCTCCGTCTTTCCGGGGTTCATGGTTCTATCTTCCCGTGGAAGACAATGTGGCGATCTAAGCTCCTCTCAGAGTGGCATTTTTTGTGTGGACGGCAGTTGGGGGCAAGATTCTGACCATAGACAATCTAAGAAAGAGAAGACAGATTACAGTGAATTGGTGTTGTTCGTGTAAAAAGGATGGTGAGTCTGTCGATAACCTTCTTTTACATTGCCTTGTGGCTCATGATTGTTGGTGCCTTATTTTTTGTTTTTTCGCCGTCCAATGGGTTATGCCTTGGTTTGCCATCTACGAGGGACTTGATTGATGCATGGAGGGGATGCAGCGTTGGGGCCTACGCTCATGTGACTTTTGGAGGGCAACCCCTCTTTGCGTTTGGTGGTGCATTTGGAAGGAGCGGAATAAATGATCTTTTGAAGGGGAGGAATCTTCCATTGGGGCCTCGAAATATGTTATTATTAGTTCTCTTTTTAGTTGGGTGATGGGGAGAAATTGTATATCTATCAAGGAAATCGTTGATTTTTTGGGCTCTTTGGGTCCTTAGGGCTTCCTTGGCTTCGGCCCTTGTATAGCTCTTGGGCTGCATTCCCCTTTTGAACGCTCTCTAATATATTTTTACTTATCGAAAGGGGGGGGGGGGGGCGTCTATTTTTAATTTTTTACACTGTATTTATTTTTCCTTGTTTGAGTACTTTGATGTTAACAATTTAATCAAGGATTAAAAAAAAAAAAATCAAGCAAAAGAAGAGGTGCTCCAGTCAGTTTAACCAGAGAATCAATCTGTTTTAAAGCCCTCTTCTGCAGTTGCTCAACTCTCACTAAATCATCGACAGTTTGACAACTTGTTGATCTGTTATTTAATTGCGAAAAATATCATAGTTATCACTTTCCTATTGTTTTCAGTCTGATTTTCATTCTGTTCCCTTTTATTTGACATAAATATTTGACTGCTTTCACAGAATATGATATTTACTGTGCCTATTGAATGAAATATAATTCAGTAAGTATATCAGATGATATAGTAATATATGTCGAGTATGGGTGAAGAGGGAGAAATTGCGAAGTACATAGTTTTCAAACTTAACAGTTTATTTTTTTTGTTTTTATCAAACAATTTTAATGGGTCAACACCCAAAACAGCATAAGAAGGAGAAGACAGGTAGTGGTCAATTGGTGTTACATGTGTGAGAGAGATGGTGAAACGGTTGATCACCTTCTTCTGCATTGCCCCGTGGCTTGGGATTGCTGGGTCTTACTGTTGAGTTTCTTTGTGGTTCAGTGGGTTATGCCCAGATCCCCCAGAAATTTGATTGAGGCTTGGTGAGGTTGTATAGTGGGGGCGCAAATCCGTGATTTTTGGAGGGTTACACCTCTTTGCATCTGGTGGTGTTTATGGCTTGAAAGAAATAGGAGGTCCTTCGAAGGAAAGGAGACTCCTATGGGGGAGTTCAAATTCTCTATCATTAGCACTCTTTTGTAATGAAGCTACGAATTATTATTTGGAATGTTCGTGGTCTCAACGACCCGAATAAAAGGAGGGTAGTAAAGGTAGCTTTAAGGAAGTGGGGGGCTTATAGGGTGATATTGTAAATCTAATAATCTATGGAGGGGAGAGTTGATTTTTTGGACTCTCTGAGAGTTTAGAGGTTCTATCAGGCCTTGTGTATTTTCTGAGGGATGCATTCCCCTTTTGAACGCTTCTTTATACACTCTTTACTTATAAAAAATAAAATAAAAAATAAAAAACGTTCAGAGAATACAAAACATGTTTCATATTTGTAAATTCAGCACTTAAAATCCAGATCTAAAATATTTCAGTGCATATTTTCAGTTTTTTATAATCCAAACATCAAATATATGCTTAAAAAGAAAAAAAAAATGCAACAGTGTGCAAAGCATTTGTGATGACACTATTTCCATAATCCTTGGTAGATAAAAGGAATTTCTAACGTTATTTCAAACAAAAAAAACTAAACACCACCAAAATTACTACTAATTAAGAAATAAGATGTTACCTAATACAGAACAGGTACTTGTCATGCAACCCAAGGGGCAGCTCATCGATGACAGCGGCAACTTTCTGTTGGCAACAGAATAAAACATGGTTCAAGATGAGCATAAAAAAATATAGAAATAAATGAATGAAGTAGGACATTCTAATTAGACAACAAAATAAAGCATGTTGAAATGAAAGACTCCAGACTGCGAGGAAGAGAAACATGATGGAAAAGAGACGGAGGGGGGAAGAACATACCAGCAGTTCTTCACAATTAGTGATAAAATAATTTTCAGATAACTTGGCATTCTCTAAAAAGTGCTCCTGGGAAAAAAAAAAAAAAGCAGTAGGGCTCAGATAATTACATGATTATAACAAGGACAAAATGGAAATCAAGGAAAATAATCATAATTTAAAGACATAGCTCCTCCTACTTTTTAAGAACCTTAGTGTCTCCAATTATGAAATATAGCGCATTTCTGACAAATAAGTTACAGTAACAGCTCCATAGCAGCAAATGCAGTGCCTGATGTGTAGCACAGATCTGATCTTCAAGTGGCAGAACTGACAGCTACAACAATGAACTCCCTTTGTTTCTGGTTTGTGGCTATAAAAGCCTTTTGTTCTATCCCATTTGCTCCAGCTGGTTAAAGCAATGATCCCAATTGTGTATGTTTTCCCTGGAAGTTCCCGGCTACTCTATAGCGCCACGAGACAACTGGTCATAATGTATCAAGGAGGGTTGCCCACACCAGTATTTCATCATCATCATCCATGCCTTTATCCCACCATATGAATAAGGTCGGTCACCTGAATTCTCTTTTTCCATTTCTTCCTATTATATACTATGTTTCCTCTAAGATTTAATTTCTTAAAATAATTGTCAATTAATTCATCCCATGCAAGTTTTGGTCAGCCTCTTTGTCATTTACCTTCTAGGCAAACAACTCTACCTCTTCTAACCAGGGCATCTTCGGGTCTATGCTGCATATGGCCATACCACCAAGCCTACTTTCTTAGATTTTATCATTACGTTATGCCTAGTTTTTCCCTCACACGATCATTATTAATCTTATCTCTTCTACATACTCTCATCATTCAACGAAACATCCTCCATTCTGCTTCATGAATGCGTTGGTCTTGTTTCTATTTCAACGCCCAATACTCTACACCATACAATATAGATGGCCTAATAACCATCCTACCGAATTTTCCTTTTATTTTATTTGATATTCACTTGTCACATAAGATGCAACTAGCTTGCCTCCATTTAGTCCATCCTGCTTCAATTCTACTTACTACATCCCTATCTAATGGAATTTAAGAATGGCCTTCAGACCAGTCAAGACTTCCTTCTGAGGGGTATTTGCTTTGCGCCTCATTCCATACGCCGGAAGCGAACTGGATCACTTCCTCTTCATCGCCTTACTGCATCACCAACTATCTCCCCATCTTGTTGCAATATTAAGCCTAAATAACAGAAATAGTTACTTTGAGTAACTTTTTGGTCTTGATTTACTACTTTATCAAACTACATCCCATAACTTTAGTTTTACTTTTACTAATTTTTAGACCTTTTGCTTCCAAAGTCTTTCTCCCTGTTTCTAATTTTGTTGTTAAGGTTTCCTTAGAGATATCTCAAAAGACTATGTCATCAGCAAACAACATACAGCAAGGAATGTCTTCTTGGACATTTTTCATTATTTCACCTAACACAATTATAAAAAAAGAATAGACATGTGGTATGAACTCTAGTTGATGTCTCACTCTATATATCCTGAATAAGATTTACGTTTTATAGAGATTTTTTTTTCTTTTTAACGCCCACCAAATTATATCCCTTGTCATTCTATCATATAACTTCTCTAAGTCAATGAAAACCATGTGCAAGTCTTTTTGTTTACTACTGCAATCTCCTATTAATTATAGTAGAAATATAAAAAGAAGAGAAAGAAGAGAATTGCGTAAAGGCTTGAATGAAATATATAAATCATTCACAACTATAGTATTTATAGATAAAAAAAAGCACATGCTCATATTACAAGAAAGGAAACTAAATCAAACTTAAATCAAATCACAACCTATTCTAAAGCATATTCTATGGCATATTCTATAGCATAGTCAACTCTCTGCTATTATGGTAAGTCATTCCATAAATCGTGACTATCATATATGCTAACATATGCATAGTCAAATCTCTGCTATTACGGTAATCATTCCATAAATCGTGGTATCATATATGCTAACACTCCCTCTCAAGTTGGTGCGTGGATATCTGAAACGCCCAACTTGGACAATGCTTTCTCAAACACAATCTTGCTAACGTCCTTTGTAAGAATCTCTGCAAGCTACTGAGAGCTTGTGACAAATGGAGTGCAAATTTGACCAGAGATGATCTTCTCTCGAATGAAGTGACGGTCCACCTCTATATGCTTAGTCCTGTCATGCTAAACGGGATTTGCTGCTATGCTAATGGCAGACTTGTTGTCGCAGTAGAGTGAGAATGGAAGGGACGCTAGAAGGTATAAGTCTGTCATGAAGGTTTTCAGCCATAGCAACTCACATACCCCAAGAGCCATAGCCGTATACTATGCCTCTGCACTAGATCGAGAGACAACATCCTGTTTCTTACTACGCCAAGTTACCACCAATAATGGTACAATAACCCGAAGTTGACCTCCTATCTAAAATTGATCCTGTATAATCAGCATTTGTCCAAGCCTCAACACGTAAGTGACTATGATTAGCAAATAAAACACCACGGCCTGGACACCCATTTAAGTAGCGAAGGATCCGAATAGCTGCATCAAGGTGAGGGGCACGAGGAGAGTGCATGAATTGACTCACGACACTCAAGGCATAAGCAATGTCGGGTCGAGTCATGGATAAATAGATGAGCTTCCCTACAAGTCGTTGATACTGACCAACATCTGACAACAACTCCCCCTCAGAATCACCCAACCGATGATTCTGCTCAATCGGAGTATCAGCAGGACGAGCGCCAAGCTGACCAGAAGCAGAAAGCAAGTCAAGAACATACTTACGTTGAGAGATGAAAATGCCAACCTCGGAGCGAGCCACCTTAATGCCCAAGAAGTACCGTAGGGGACCAAGATCCTTAATCTCAAACTGACGGCCAAGATAGCTCTTAACCTCAGCAATTCTGGTAGTATCATCGCCGGTAAGAACAATATCATCGACATACACAATGAGAGCAATTGTCTCACCGCCTGAATGACGTAAAAACAAGGTATGATCAGCTGCACTTTGATGGAAACCAAACTTGAGCACGGCATTGCCAAAGCGATCAGACCAAGCTCGAGGAGACAGCTTGAGGCCATACAGAGAACGACAAAGACGACATACCATACTAGAATGAGCAGGAGAGCGAAAGCCCGGAGGAGGAACCATGTACACCTCTTCTTGCAAATCACTATTGAGAAAGGCATTATTGACATCTAACTGAAATAGAGGCCAAGATCGAATCGCAGCAACGGAAAGTAATACACGGATGGTATTCATCTTGGCAACAGGGGCAAAAAGTCTCCAGATAATCTATGCCATAAGTCTAAGTATAACCCTTGGCAACCAACCGGGCCTTGTAACGAGCAAATGACCCATCTGGATTATGCTAAATTGTAAACACCCAACGACAACCCACAGCCTTCCGTCCAATAAGAAGCGGAACCATGTCCCAAGTCTGATTTTTCTCAAGTGCTTGTAGTTCCTCTGTCATAGCGTTACGCCATTGAGGTTGTGCTAGTGCATCTGCAACACTAGAAGGAAGAGGAACCGAGGCAACAAAAATAAGAAAACTCCGATAGGTAGAATGTCCAATATCTCTTTCACATCCTCTATGCGAAAATCTTTAATTTTCATAAGATCTTCTTGACTGTTATTCAAAAGGTCCAATAATGTATATATATTGGACCTTTTGAGGCAATTATAGATCCTGGGAGATAATTCTGATTGGTCAATAAAAATATATTTGAATGCTATTTTTTTTTGTTTTTCCTTAGTTTAGCTAATTTATCATGAAAGGTAAAAGGGGGTAAAGTAAACTTGCGTTGATTGTCCTCTAAATGTAAGTTCTCTTCTTCCGTATGAAAAAAAAGGAATAAATAAATCAAATAAATTCCGGGAGGCTTCATGAAGTGCTTCTTTAGGAGCTAAACTTGGTGAGAGAGCATAATCAGAAACAAAATTAGAAATAGGGTATGTACAAGAACGTTAACCCTTTCGAAGAGCAATGGGGCAATCATCAAGCGAAACAATAGCTTGAGAAGGCAGAGCTAGTACCAAAGGAACAAGGCAGTCAATCGTGGGAGTAGAAGCTTGTACCTGTTGTCTCCAACTATAAACCTGTGAAAAAGGAACAATTCCCCCTGCTGAAGGGGTATCACGAGGAGGAATCATAGAAGATGAAACAGGTAACGGTAGAGGAGTTGAAGGTGGAAGAAGGTGATCATCCATTATATTCAATGGGAACCATTCACTTTGAGAACCAACTGAACCGTATGGTGTATGCTCAAAGAAAGAAACATCCATGGATATAAACAGCCGACGACTGGGAGGATGGTAACACCTATAACCTTTTTGAGGGTGAGAATAGCCTAAAAACACACACTTCAAAGCATTGGGGTCAAGCTTTGTACGAGTCTGCCCCAACTGCTGAACAAAGCACACACACCCGAAGACTCGCGAAGGAATCAAAAAAAGAGATGCATTGGGATGTAGGATTGAGAATGGGGCTGCAAAGTTAAGAACCCTAGAAGGAGTCCTATTAATGATGTAAACAGCTATAAGAACTGCATCTCCCCAAAATGACTGGGGAACATTCATGCCAATGCAGATTGCTCTGGCTAACTCAAGGATGTGGCGATTCTTTCTCTCAGAACGACCATTCTATTGAGGAGTTTTAACATTAGTCATCTGATGCTCAATCGCAAATTCTATACATAACCGTTGTACCTCCCCATAAGCATACTCTGTACCCTGGTCAGATCTGAATTTTTTAATGGTATGACCATATTGAGTCTGAACCATTCTCATAAAATTTTTAAAAATGGTGTATACCTCATTTTTGGTTTTCATAAGATAAACCCATGTAACAGGACTATGATCATCAATGAACAACACGAAATATCGAAATCCAAGACTAGAAGTAACTGGGCAAGGACCCCACACATCTGAATGAACAAGATCAAAAGGTGTTAAAGCAGATTTATTACTACTAGCAAGATAATTGGAACAAACATGTTTAGCCATATGACATGTCACACAAGATAAATCTGACACTGCTACACTACAAAATAAGGAAGGAA